AGCAGTTTTCTAGTTTCTGTTGTGATTGTTTGATGAGGGTTTTAAAATTCACTATTATAGGCTGGCCACAGTGGCTCATACCTATTACTCCTAGCACTTTGGGAGGTTGAGGCAAGAGGATTGCTTGAGGCCAGGAGTTCGAAACCAGCTTGAGCAACATAGTAATACCCTGTCTCTACAAAAAATAGGAAAACCATCCTGGCACACTTGTAGTCCCAGCTACTTGGGATTGCTTGAGCTCAAGAGTTTGAGGTTGTAGAGAGCTATGATGATGCCATTGTATTCTAGCCTGGGCAAGAAAACAAGACCTTGCCTCAAAAAAAAAAAAAAAATCACTATTAAAAACTTCACAGAATGCTATGGATATTAGAACATTTGCAATTATGTAGCCAAATCACCTTATTTTACAACTACAGTGCATTATGTGGCTTATCTCAAGTCATACATCTTCTAAGAAACTGGTAAAACTGTCCAGGTTGTATATGGTTTTCCAAGATGAACAACCACTTCTCTCCCAGTGAAGGATTCTTTCTCCTGTTTCAAGCTATATCAATAATGAAAAACATTTCTGGTTAATGGGTGAAGAAATATTTTCTGCATTTTGCTTCAAAATACTGTTAGGTAATCTTTTTTACTTTTTGAATTTCTCATTTAAGGATGTTTTCCTATAGGCATTTTTTTTCAGACTTGACCAAAGTGTATCAATACTATATTAAACTTTTATTTATAGGGTTACCTATAGGTATATAGCCTGATTATATTATACTAATTCTGAATTTTTCCTTTATTGACAATATTATATGTTCTATTGCTTTTATGTATGTGAAAATATTATAGCTAGACATTATATGCCTTCTTTTATTTGTAGTGGGTATTTTATGAAGAAATATCTAGGCTAGAAAAAAATTTTTAAACATAAGCAATTTCATTATTTTGGGGAAAATCTGTAGATAATATATTGTTTGACATCAGATTATCTCTTTTTGTTATCACAGTTTATTCATGTGATTTATTTATACCTTGGCTTGTTTCAGAAAGAATTTAAGATTGCTTACAAAAATACGTAAAATATATTAACAAGGTGTAAATTATAAGTGGGAGCTAAACAATAAAGAAAAACAAGAACATGACCATTAAATGGAAGTAAGGAAATAAATATCTTAACAAACTGTGTGTATATATGCATATATACACTTGTCTATAATCTAAGTGTCTGCATTTCAAAAGGGGAAACCTAGTTAGTTAACTAAATTCCGTGCCTATTAGATTTAAAAAATTATGTTAATTTCCATAAGATAAAAGCAAACCATTAACTCTTTTTGGTACTAAGGCCAGACAGGAATTTCTCTCAAAGAAGGATCTTCATAAAAAGAATATTGATATAATGAGAAAATTATTTTACAACATTTTTATGCAAGATATAGTCATAATTTTCATAGGGTTTCAAATCGACTCATGGCATCATATCAAAATCAGTCTCAGTAAAAGAAGCCCCACAGGGAAGCAGTACTTTGTGGCTAGTTTTATGCTGATCTGGTTTGATACAGGGGTAGAATTTTAAATATCTGGAAGAGTGGATACACCTTATGTTCTTCAAGCTATCCTTTCTAAATATTATTTCTCTCAAGCAAGACTTTGGGAAAGATGATAGTGTTGCAGTGAGTTTGATGCTATATTCCCCTAACAAATACCTGGAAAATATCTACTTGATGATACTCATTGAAGTCAGAGCAGACCCACTGGTTGTAACAGTCCATTGATCTGAGGGAACAAATGACATTCTCTTGTGAAAGATGATGAGTCTTTCATCTTGAACAAACATCTTATTAAATTTATTGTGCAATGAAGCATATTTGCTAATAATTTTGTTAATTACTTTCTACTACATGCAGAAAATTGGAGATTCATATCGTGGCTACTGTGTAAGTGAGACCGAATTAGAAAGTGTCCTAACATTTCACAAGCAGCAAACACAGAGTGTTTGGGGGACCCGCCAGTCTCCAAGCCCAGCCAAGCCTGCTACACGCTTGATGTGGAAATCCCAGTATGTCCCATATGATGGAATCCCATTTGTCAATGCAGGTACTTTTTTTAAAGAATTATTTTAAAAGGTTCAGCAGCAGCCATAGTCCATTGTGAAAATGTGATTTTCCTAAGATGATACATTTTTATTTTGGTAGATAACAGCTGAATGTTAATTGATTAAAATGCATATTAAACTAAAAAGAAAACTTATAGTAAATATAATCAATTACTTTATGTAATAAAATTGTATTTTAATATGTCAGAGTAAGTAAATAATGCTTCCTTTATATATTATGCTGATAAATGGAAAATTAAAATATTGAAATTCCAGGTGGACCTATTTAATAAAAAATAAAAAGGGCAATTTTATTATTTTAAGTATATATATCTGCTGTGGGTTTTTTTCTTCCTATGAACCAAATATTTTCTCTTTCTCTTTTAATTGTATTTTGGGACATACTCATGCCCATTTTATGTGGCTTATAACTCTGGAGTTACTTTGTAGAATTTATATACAATTTGGAGTTATTATATAGAATTCTGATACTAAAGTTCTCAACCATCAGGTGTGTTATATATAGTATTCTCGGACTCTAGGTTAGTGTTTACTAAGGGAGTAGAGTTTCAAGCAAACCTATTTAATAAAATATAATAGGGCAAACCCTAGAGATCTACCTTAGTACTAGTCAGACCACAAATAATCAAAATAAATGATTTATTTCAGGACTGTGGGGGCACTAATTTACCTGGAAGAGATGCAGTCTCATCCTGGACCTCTGAGGTTAATGAAAAATACTTATAGGAAGATGAGATAAATGTAAAACCTTCTGTGTGGGTTTCAAAAGTACTCCATAAAAGAAATGCAAAATTAAAAATAAACTTGAAATCCTGCAGCCCTCCTTTTTCCCTCCCTAGTTCTAATCCCCTTCTTAACTCTCAATAGATAGCCTATACATGAATTTGGTGTGTATCTTTCTACTTTATATCTTTATACTTTACCATATATATTTGTATTTTCAATAATATA